CGCCGGAGAGCTGCCGGCAGCGTTGCCCCGCGCCTGGCTCGTGGCGTTGCGAGCTTGCTTCCCTCTTGCAGTTCCCGGGGCTGCCGGGCTGGCAAACCCGCGTGCCCTTTCATTTCCCCAAAGGGGTGGTGGCAGCAGCAGCAGCAGTGACCCTATGAAGAGAAAGCGGGGGAAATCGCCTCTTTTTTTGAGGCGTGCTGACATAGCTGCTGCACATCAGGAGGCCTCATCAGGCCGGATCAGGCCTGCTTGTTCTACGGCTGAGTTTCCGAGGATGCAGTGCGGAGCCGTTACGTTATGCCAGGCGAGCTGCCTGGGGAAGGAGCGTTACTCTGGTACATCCCGTTTTCCTCTGTCCTTGTAGCTTCTGTATCACAGCTACTGAATTTAGTTAGTTTGTACTTCAGCAGTGCTTTCTCTCCCTCAAAAAAGCCCTTGGTTATGCTTCCCACATGTGCAATGTTGACTGACATTTGCCCAAGCTCTGATCAGTCGTGATGCCCCAGGAAGTAACTTACCACGCTGTAACCGCTCATTCCAAGTTCAAGTCACAGCTGGCAATGGGGACTGCAAAAAAAAAAAAACAATGAAATGCTGCTGCTTCCTGTCCCTCAGTTAGGAGCTATGACCCCCTTTCTGGGACCTAACAGTGGGGAAAGCCGACAGCAGGCGCTAGCCTTCCTTGGATACAAGGCTGCTCCAGTATCAGCTCAAAGTGACTGTTAAGGACACGCTCACTTGACTACTTCGATCTTGCCAGACGAGTGATGTGGACATTCCAGATTATGGCTTTTAATGTTGGTCGGAATTGCGTGTTCTAGTTAAAAGCTGTACTTGGTCCAAGCACGCTTTCAGATTTTATTTAACCCCCTGCCCCCCAAAAAACAGAAAAAAAACCCTCACAAACACCAGAAACTATTCTACGAGGATAGGTAAGGTGATCACAACTTCCTAAAAAGAGAAGTTTCTATAGAACTATGTTACCAAATATTTCTAGCCTGGTTTTTAAAAGTAACAAAGTGTATAAAGTGTTTGTTTCATTAATGCTTTTAATTAGGGACTTATGCAGTGAATGCAGAAAAAATTAGTAGAAAGAAAGTAATTTTCCTTGAGTGGAGCTTTCCACCCTGCCTGTCCCTTATGGATAACATGAGCCTAGCAGTCTTGACTTAAAATCTTGCATCCGTCCAAGTCGCCTGTCAAGCATGCTTAAACCTCCCTGAATTTAAAACCAGAGTGTATTTCAGGAGCGCAGTTTTTGGTGGATTTAAAGTAAGGTTCTTTTTACTTTCATGTTAGCAGCAGAGGGAGCCCTAGTTCTGCAAAAGAGTATTTGCTGCTCGTTACGCTATAAAGCAGAAAACGCAGTAATTGTTGTTTTTTGCTGTGCAGTATGTTCTCACAGATGAAGCTTTAATCTATATCGTACATCTCTGTTGCTGTAAATTCATGCTCCATTATACCACCATATGCTTTGATTCAGTTGGTGAAAGCTGCAGTAATCCCAATACTTCGTCTAGCTTCATAGATATTTGTGTTGCAAGTTTGACTGCGTATTGTTTTCTCACACACTTAAAGGTTATGCTTTAATAAATTGTTTTTAAATGAGTACATAAGCAAAGAGCTGGCAGTGATGAGTTTGGATGTCTTGAGAAAGTGTTGTAGTTGTTGTCAGCTGCAATACGAGTTTCAGGAGACAAAAAGGAGAGTTTGGTCCGTTAAAAAAATCTGGAGGCGTGAAGAACGATGTTTTAGGTTTTATCTCATCGTTGTCTAGTCAGCTGCCTATTTTCTTTCTCCTCTGCTTACAGGCATCTTATCAGTACCTCTCTCTACAAAGTGGACAGTTAATCTAAAAACATGAATGCGTAGATACTGTTTTTTCAGAACTGGTTGAGTTCTCTTACAGTGTTCAGGATTTTTAATTATGGTACAGAAATACAGGATCCCGAAAGTCTTATACACACTTAATATGTCCCCAGAGTTCTGTGTGTCATTTATGTTGATGAAGAAAGGTATAATGCTGAAAGCAGGAAAAGAAATACTTTTAAAACACTTTATTCTAATGTTTTAAATTTATTTGCTCGTAACTTTATGTCTTTTGCAAGTGTGATCTAGTACAGACTTTATATATACATTGTATTATATAAATATTATATATATTTACCATATGCCAAATATTTACAAAATATGTAATATATTAAATATATGATTTGTAATATATACAGATAACTATATATACGATATAATGTATATACTTGTATGCCACTATAATTATATACTGTAATATCTACCATAGGTTATAGCCACTATATATATAATTTACATGCACCTATATAATACAATTTATAAATAGATATTTTGATACCGTGTGTGTGTGTGTGTGTGTGTGTATATTTTTTTTAAGATTTCAAGAGCCTTGCTTTTGTATTTCTGTTTTGAGGTACTTGAACAGACATCATTTTCAGATTTTGAGTTCTTCACATGAGAGGACTGATGTAAACTGGGCTCTTTTTAAAGAGACTAAACTTGAACACTCTAAATTGAATAACCTTTGAAAACTTTGGCTTTGTTGCTTGGGCAAAGAGGGCTTAAAAGGTGAAAAAAACCCAGGAGTTTGTTGTGGTAGTTAAGTTTTATATAGCACTTTGTAGCTACTGTTTTGTCCTACGTGAGACCTCAGGTCAAATTTCACAGATATGAGTGTCAGCAAAATCAATGGGATTTAAAATTCGTGTAATTGAAAGGAAATTTGATTTATAAGGAATACATCTGATCTCCTAACTGCTGTAGTATTTGCATAAAATCTTTGGCATTCCAAACCGTCTCAAACTATTTAACATTATGTACATTGTTCTAACAGTATTTTATCTTGTGTGTTCTGATACCATATTATTAATTTTTCCCATTACCTGTCACATCAAACCTTGCTAAATAACATAAAGTTGATTGTTATAAGCTTAGATTGGTGTAAAAATACTGATCTGACCTGAGTAATACTCAGTATTATCAAGTAGATCTTGTCTGTCTTGTATTGTTAATAAGGCAAGTAATTATTGCTGAGAACTCGCAATATTCTGTACTAGCGCTTATTATATTCTGTTGGTGTAAAGGCATTTGGGGTGAATAAACAGGTAAACATAACAACATTGTAGCCAAGCTGTAGGGCAGAAAATGGATAGGATAAGCATGAGGAACAGGACAGTTGATGCGTGAGCTGAGACCCTTCTTAAGAGTAGTAACGTATTTTTTGTTGAGATTGGAACACTGCAAGGGTTCCAGCTTGAGTCCATTTTTGTTGTATTATATTGGTTAATGTTTTATTTTACTGAGATCTATGTATAATGTAGTCTATTCCATTTGAAAATTTAGGTACTGGTCATGCGTGAAGGATTCAGACTAATATGTTAGGAAAGAGGACCGTTTCCTCAAGGAATTATTTTGTTATGCTGTCTGTTACTTTGATTCTTTCTTGTTTAGTACATGCATGTACTTCAGTGAAAGCTGAGTCATATAAAAATTGCTTCCTAAAGTCTTCTAACAGAATCTTATTTTTAAACAGATAAAAATAATTCATTCTGGTACTAAAATGATAACATTTTTATAATGACTGAAGAAAAATAATGTTCTGGGGGGAATAATGTACTCTTTAAAAATATATTTGTCAGCTGTGAAAGGTGCTCAACATCAGTTGGGTTGCCATTGATAATGAACTATAGGTGCATTATTAATCCAGCAGAGTGACAGGAAGTTTTCAGTACTATTATAGATTTTCAGAAAATAATTTTGATGGGCAAGTTATTTCTCAAGACTTTTGAGACTTACTTTCAAACACTAGAGGGCTCAATAAATGTTTCTGTTTTTTATTCTTGAGGTTTTAATCATTATAAAAAATGCATCTCTTTCAATAATGCTTACATTAACCTCATAATCATGTTTAAAATGACACCATTTTATAGTAATAACAGAAGAATAGCAACACACGAATAAGCTCATGAACAAAACATCTTTCTTGAGCTAGCGTAAATAAAATAAAATACCTACAGCTGTGGCACCACTCTGCAAGCTGCATGTGTAGTATGCAGAGATATGCTGGAATTCCTTGTTTGGTGAATTCCTTGCTTAGGCAGCTCTCATCTAAATTAAAATTTTAGTAAAAATTAACCACATAAACATTTCTGTTATAATGTAAAAGAAAAATAGCAAACATTGCAGTGCCTTCAAAATAAGCATTGTAAGATTTTTCTACTATATAAAAACTAAAATATGACACTTTCTAGAAACTAATTTTTAAAAAGGAAAACTGAATTCGGTATTTGATATGAGAGAAATGAAGAAAAACTTACATTAACTTTGAAAAGTAAATACATTGTCTTAAATTATTAACAACTAATTTTAACCATCTAATTAGATATTATTATAACTTTGGTCATATTTACTTATATCATGCCTAGTCCAATGCTGACTG